TGATGATGATGATGATGATGATGATGATGATGATGATGATGATGATGATGATGGTGCAGATGATGCAACTAATGATGATGCAGTGATAATGATGCAGTTGATGATGATAAAACTTTCTATGGGTATTGCGATGATAAAAAAGAGAAGGAGCTGATTGAAACTAGAGTTGGGGGAGGAGAGGGAAGATGGGTAAGGGGAAGAGTGTGAGCTTGATGATCAGTGTGTCAGCTAGAGCAATGAGGATGTTGACAAATCCCTAATTTAGAGTTACAAAGTTCTATCTGACGTAATTTTTGACTGTTTTGGATTACTAAGACCCTGAGGTCAGAAACCAAATAATAATGTTCTTTCTGCTCTCTCAAAATCGTAAGATTGTTCAGAGTCGTTATCAAGATATTCAAAGCAGCTTGACATGAATTGAAACTCAACATCTTTGACGTCATATTAAAAAACTAGGGGGTACTGAGCAGATAGAACTTAGTAATTCTCAAGTAGCGAAATAGTTACATTTCGATAATGTCAATCAGACAGACAAAAACGTTGGTTTAAAAAGAAAGAGGAGATAAAAGACGCTGAGAAGGAAGGTCGTCATTTAAAACATGAGGGTTTATACAGGTTCTGTAGGCGCCACAAGCATAGCACAAACTATACCCACATACTTATTGATACTGCTTCGTGGAGAGAAGGAACAAATCTAGTTACAAGGAGTATGTAGTCATGCAATAAAGAATACTTGTTTTTTCAAAGAGAAGTAACGTAAACAGCACAATACGAATGAAGAAAATGGTTACAGCTCACCTCTCCTCACCCCAACCCTAATACAAAGTTTGCAGTCAGATTAATTATCATTAAAATAGGATTTTTTTGTCTTGACTGAAACAGTTTTAAGTAAAAGAAACAAAAAGTCAAGTCATAAGTAACAGCTTAAGGAAGTCACGCCCAGTTTAAAAGAAACTGATTTTCCCTTGGAAAAATTTGATCAAGTGGTCTCACACAAGTAGACGAATATTTGTGTTTGTGTGCAGTATAAAAGCAAAAAAAATATCTGGCTACTTAAGAACAGAGGGCTTTTTAACCATCCGTAACACCTTTTAACCCCCCCACCCCCTTTCCATACACACCCTCAACACACATACTTAATGACCCACATTCCCCACCCTCAATCTACATGACAATATACCACCCCCAGGGCAATAAACAAAGACGACAGCTCTTCCCATAACGATGGATATTCACAAAGACAGATGCATAAATTGTAAACAATGACATATCATCACGATAAACCGGAATGATTTGTTTCAAGTGGAAAATACATTGTATTGTTCTTCTCTCGATTGGGTTTCATCGTTTGTACTTAATTATAGAGAGAAGTAGAGATAATCTCCACGGTCAGCTGTCTCGGTAAAATGCACAGGGGCTCCCCATGTTCAATCGCTTTAGAGGGTCTGAAAAACACAGCAGTCTAAGCTATGTCATCTGAAATCGTGGTCTAGAATAAAAGAAACAACTCTGGTTAATTCAAAACAATTTTCATCATAATACTATTATCATTTTGGTCCTCGTTTTGCGCTTCAGACAAACTAAAATCAGTTAAATCAGAATCTGCTTGTTTTTGG